GATGGGCTCCAGCATGGACTTTGCAGACATGACTACACTGGTGGCAGATATTCACCTTCCCAGACTCTTCAACTCAATCACTGATATGAACCCATTGCAAGATCCCACAGCAACCCTATACAAAGACATCAGTAGAGATCAGGTCCAGGAAAGCTCCAGCAACATCAGTGTACCCGTGGACCAAGTGAGAAAGGATGGCCAGAAAGCCTCTGATGTGCTAGATGGGTCTCCTCAGGCCAGAATCCAGCTCCAGGACCTGGAGGAAGAAGAGGCTATGGGCAGTGCTGGGTCCAGTGAAGGGGCTATTGACAACATGCCTAAGAACTTGGAGGACAAAGCCCAGAAAGCCACACCCAGCATGCCCAGCAGAGCAAGGGCTCAGGGGCAAGACAAGACCAAGAGATCCAGAGAAAACAAGTGCAAGAAAACAGAGGAGCTCAAGCAGTCAAGGAACAGAGTCAAGGCAGACGAAAACACCACCATGCCAAAGAACCAGAGGAAGAGGAATCCACCTGAGCTCAGCCACAACAGCTTTAAAAAGCCTCGAACTCACCTCGGCATGCACATGCTAGAATCCGTGCAAGTCTTTCACCCACTGGGGAAGAAGAGTGAGAAGAAAACTGGCATCTCTTCCTCCCGGGCTCGGCTAAACTTCAGCAGCAACAAAGATCCCAGGACAGGCCCAGCCACCACATCACTTCTGGATGTGCCATGTAATGGCCGAGGCCCTGGTAAAACCCCAAGCAATGCTCAGAAAACAGAGAGAAATGCTTACAGGGAGTGTCATCCATCTCCATCCCAGTATAAGCTGCCCCCACCTGGCAAGGTCAAATTAGTACCTCTAGCTTTTCCAGCCCTGGACATGCCACAAACAAGACCTATTTCTAAAAAGCCTCTCCCCCTGGCTTCACACAGGGCCCCTGCACTGTACCCTGTGAGACCTCATTCTGACTCAGCTCAGTCTACCACACTCAAGCCATCTAAACCAGCTCCTGCCAGCACTTCTTTGATGGCCTCTGACAAGCCAGTTCTGCCTATTCCTACCAGTGCCATACGAGATAACATAACCAACCCCATCCAGTCTTGCACTGGGCCTCAGCCAGCTGTCTGTAGGCCAGTATCCTACAGGGCATCATCTGACCCTTCACTACAGAGGGAGCTTGCCTCTGCTGACAAGAACAAGGCCCCATCACCTCCCAAACCTCAAATCCAATATCTACTGCAAGACTTCAGCCACCAACCAATTCCATGGAGGAAAGTCGACATTCCAGGGCCAGTCATCTCACAGCCCATCACACAAGAGCAGAGACCAGAGAGGGAGGCCATGAAGAGGCGGGCTCAACAGGAGAGAGAAAATGCTGCCAAGTACACCTCTCTGGGAAAACCGCAGCTTTTCCTTCAGAGGGAGAAGGATATGGAAATTTCCAGATATTTTGGCTATGTCATGTAAGGGCTGGCCTAGCATTTGGAACCCAGTATTCTTCAAGATAGAGAAGGTGAGATATGGAGACACATATACATGTATACATTGGATATAAAGCCTTGGACATAAGTGTAGATATGTAGGTATGCATTGAGTTAAGGTTAATAATATGTACATCCCAGGATTTACACATAATTGGTCAAACATAGTTTCATTACTTGTAAATATCTGAAGACACTAAAGGTGACTGGAGAAAGTACAGTCTGTTATATTTTATCCATGAGTAAGTATATATAGAGGGTTTTGATGGTTTCTTCGTACCTTAGCTGTTATTCATTTATGTTGTCGAAGTAGTAATATATGTTATATAAATACATCATATGATATAAATCCATGTTAGTATTATGTAAGGTAAAAGTAATTAGCCAAAAAACT